GAGAGACACAAAGGACTTATTTTGTCACTAATGCTCTTTCCGTTTCCCTTCCCTCACTGTGATCTGAAACAACTGGAATGTAGGTATCTGCCGCTGTGACCTGTGGAACTTGTTACTCCTTTAACTGAGTCAGCCTGCAGTGGACTGAGTGTTCTGTGGCTTGCATACTTCCCAGCACAGCATGTGCTGTCAGCCTGCTAGTAAAAGGGTGGCATCTCATTTAAATCAACTACTGGTGAGGTTCAGGATGTCAGCATGTTTTCCGTTGTCTTTTTTTTTTTTTTTTTTTTTTTTTTTCTTTCTGAGACAGGGTTTCTCCGTGGTTTTGGAAGCTGTCCTGGAACTTGCCCTTGTAAACCAGACTAGTCTCAAACTCACAGAAACCCGTCGTCCTCTGCCTCCCCAGCTAGGACTAAAGGCATGTGCCACCACCTGGCTTCTGTTGTCTTTTACTTTCAGGTTTATTTTATTTTTCTGTAAGCCTGATTTTTAGAGCAATTGATTTTAGTAGAAATCTATGTCTGTCTCTTTAAAAATGTTTTTAAACAAGATCATACAGTATAGTTCTGTTTAACATGGAATTCACAAAGTAGACTAGGTTGGCCTTGAACTCACAGATTTGTCTGCCTTTGCTCCCCCTAGTGCAAATTAAAAAATTAAGGGAAAAAAAAATTGAGATAAGGTCTGGGAGGCCAAGCTAGCCTTCAGCCTGTGATCCTTTTGCCTCAGCCTCTCTAGTGCTGGGATTACAGATGTATACTACCACATCCACGTCTGGCTTTAATTATTTGTTTTTTGTTTGTTTGTTTAGTAGGGGGGTGTGCATCATGAGCATTTAGACTTTGGAGGGCCACTTGTGGGAATAGGTTCTCTCCTTTTACCATGTGGGTTGTCAGGCTTAGCAGGCAGGTAGCAAGCGCCCTTATTTATTTATTTATTTTATTTATTTGCAGCAAGTTCTATATGTAGTCTCAGCTGGCCTAAAACTCATTATATAGACAAGGCTGGCCTCAAACTCAGAGATTCAGAGGTGTCTGCCTCACCAATGCTGGGATTAAAGGCACCCTCCACTACACCTAGCTTTTAAAATAAAGTTTCAGGTTAACAAAATAGATTATTGAAAATAAGAGCAAGCATTTTGGAATAACTTCACATAGTCCAGAGTAACCAGGGGCTGCATTTCTCTCTGATGGTTGCATGTAGGCTTGTGTGTTGGCCAACACTGGCAGTCCCAGCAGTGGCTTCGTGAGGGTGAAGAGAGGATTTCCAGTTCCTGAGACCCTGTTTCAAGGAAAAAACAAAAACAAAAAACAAACAAAAGGTCCATTAATCAGTAGTGTTTTACCTTCAAACTAGGGCTTGCCCATTGTTTGGGTTGTTGGCAGATGCCTGTGAGGAGAGCCAGGCAAGACCCACACACTCTTAACACTGACCTTGTTTGGGTATCTGGGAATTTACTTTCAAGAAGTGCTTAGTGTCCAGCCTAGTGTCTCTCACACACACTCCAGATAACACTGTCCCTCTGAGCTGAGTCCTCAGCATAGTGTTTTATGTCCCTGTGACCTCAACTTTTTACAGCTGAATGATCCTGTTTAATTAACCTGTTATGCAGCTTATTGTGACTAAGAGTACACCACACTGCTGTGTTTTCTTAAAGCCCACATTGGAGATACACACTCAGATACCTGTAGATGAACTTGTGGGTTGACTGGGATTTCTTCCTCTAATTGGCTGGGCTATGTGTGTATATGCTGGGACAAACCTGTCACTTTCAACACCTGTGTAATGCAGGCTAGTTCAAAACAAAACAAGATTCACTGTTTTCTTTGCTTGTGAAAGGCATGCAATGAGTAAGAGCCCAGGCTTGCAGCTCCCAAACACCTGGGCTGGGATGTTGGTTCTGCTCCTGCTGCGATCTAAGCAAGTTTAACATGTCTGGGCCTGGTTCTTCATCAGCAACCTGAGCAGAATACCACCTGCCTTGTAGCAAGGTACCATGGTGTCATAGAGAACTCTTCAGAGCCTTGCTGGATCCCGTGCAAAGAAGGTGGCCAGTGGTTGCTGAAGAGTCTTCTCTTTTGCTGGTATCTATCAGGGTCTGCTGGGATGCTCCTGTGGACCCTCTCTGTTCCTGCCTCTTCTCCCTTTACTGTTGAGCTCTTGGGGCTCTGCTGCCCATCCTGTGGTGGCAGGGAGGAAAGGTGGGAACGCTGAGCTCCCACCCGGCCTTTCATCCTCTTGAACTCCTGATGCTTCTGCTTCTGCCTCCCAAGTGGGGGTTACAGTTGTACCACCATGTCAGGTGCCAGGTGCTTGAAAAGGACATATGGTGCAGTCCTTATGGAGCCTCTTTGAATCTTTTATTTATTTTGAGACAGGGTCTCTCTGTGTAGCCCTGGCTGTTCTGGAACTCACTATTTAGACCAGGCTGGCCTTGAAGTCACAGAGATCCACCTGCCTCTGCCTCCCAAGTGCTGGGGATTAAAGGTGTGTGCCACTATGTCTGCTGTAAACTTCTTTTGGGATGGTTAGAGTAAAGAAACATACCCTTAAATTCTTAATTTGGAGCCAGTGGGATATCTCAGCAGGTAAAGCCTGATGACCTGAGTTCAGTCTCTGGGCCTTATACATTGGAAGGACAGATTGTACTCCTACAAGTTGTCTGTCCTCTTTGTACTGTGACATGTGCATACACAAGTAAATAAATAAAATATAGGAAAAATATAACATTTCCTGTGTACAACTTAATTATTTCCACAATGTAAATACAGTATAACCAGCAGGAAATGATTAACTAGTGCTTTAAGAATTTTTTGAAGCTTTGCCTTCCCTCAGCTACCTGGAAAGTAAGTTCCTTCCTCTGGGGAACAGTCACTTAAAGGTCCCCCTCCACATCCTTGTCCTGTGTGTTCTGTGAGTGGGCTTGCTTCTCCCTGAGGTGGTACGAGGAGGTTCTGGGATCTCTGCTACCCTGCCAGCTCAGCTGGGGACTCTCAGGACAGAATGTTCTCACTGCTGAATATTATCAAATTCGTCTCTCTCTTGTCTACCAGCAATGGTAGTGGGCATGTGTGTCCTCTGAAGAACAGGGAAAGCCGTCACTTGGGTCACTTTCTGAAGGACTTAATTCCACTCCAGAAGGGCCAGAAGCCTTCACTCTTCCTGTTTTTTCTTCAGCAGGCCTTACAATCCTGTAAAAGGTTATTTCTTTGTGGGACTGTGGGTTTGCCCCAAGCTCCTCTGTCTTACTGGGAAGTGAGAGTGAACAAACATGCTTTAAATGCCTAGCTGAACTCTGGCACTAAGGGAAATTCCCAGAGGACCAAAAAAGGGAAGAGGGAGTTGAAACCAGCGGATAATAGAAGAGGGTTAGGGGGAGGAAGCCATGCCATTCTGATATATTGCAGGAGTCTGGAGAGAGAGCTTGGATTAGACCATTGCTGTTGCTGAGGGCCTGTTCCCACCATCAGATCCAGTTGGGAGGGACCAGAATCAGCCAGGAAATAAAGCCCTCCTGGTGGCAGTGTTCCAATGCATTGTTTTTGGGCCATGTGGATGTGACTTATATTGACCCCTCAGAGGGTCCCATTGACAGCCTGATACCTGGGAACTTCCAGCTATAGGGGAGGGTCCCATTGATAACCTCTGATGTCTGGGTAATTCTAGCTCTAAGGGTGAAGAGCCAGCTGTCACACATAGTACCTATAATTCCCAGTAATGTTCATGCTATGAAGAACCCCAGGCAATTGGTGTTAGGGGGCTTTGCTGATATCCTGTCCCAGTTTGGTACTAGAATGTGTGGTTCTGCTTGAGATTGGGACATGTGGCAGCAGGGGTGGGCATGTCCCTGTGAGCTACAGTTTCAGCAGAGCCCAGGATTTCCCCATGCCCAGTAGAGTGTGTCTCCACTTGATTCATTCCTGAGAGTGCTTCTGCATTAGTGTCTATCCTGAAGGCCATCATTCTCTGTATCATTTGGTTCCCGGTGAACGTCCTTTACAATGTGAGTTGTGGGTTAGAAAAGTCTGGGAGGGGCTGAGGTTAATAGTGCATTTGGACTCTCTTTACCACTCCCAACCCCCTCTAGAATTTTTTTCTTTTATAAATTAAAAAAGTTTGTTTTTTCTCGAGATAGGGTTTCTCTGTAACATCCTTGGCTGTCCTGGAACTCATTCTGTAGACCAGGCTGACCTTGAACTAACAGAGATCCACGTGCCTCTGCTTCCCAAGTATGCCACCACACCTGGCTTAACTTGAAAATTTTTAATTATTCTTAGTTATGTGTAGGTGTATGTGTGTCTGCATGTGGGTATGTGCACATGAATGCAAGTGCCCATAAAGACCAGAATGAAGGGTCTCCTGGAGTTACAGGGGGCCATGAGCCCCCTGAATGTGGTTGCTGGAAGCAGAACTCAGGTCCTATGGAAGAGCAGTAGGTGCTCTTAACTGAGCCAGGTCCTAGCCCCTACACTCCCTGCCACCACTCTTTTCTTTTAAGCAGGGTTTCACTGTGTATCCTGCCAGGCCAGGAACTCTGTGTAGATGAGGCTGCCTCAAGATCATAGAGAATTCCTGCCTCTGCCTCTTGAGTACCTCTTACATTCTGAGTGCCTACCAGATGCCAGACACTGTTCTGTCAGGAAGGATGATGATGATGGTGTGTGTGTGTGTGTGTGTGTGTGTGTGTGTGTGTGTGTGTGTGTGTGTGTGTTAAACCGTGGTTCATCTGGCTGTGGAATTCACATGTCAAGTTGATCCTGATCAATTTACCTCCAGAGCCCATACAAGTGTGCTGAAATGAATGAATCCACCATTGCCTTCTGCAAAATTTTGACATCTGTGGGATTTCTGAAGTCTTTTTCAGCTTTTGAAGGCTACCTGTGACAGCTGTTGTCTATCTCCACACCTATGAGAACTTTGGCCATCGTGAAACTGGACACTGTAGCTTTTCAAGCAAATGAACAGGCTGACTAATGAGAAATCCACCTCAATCTCTATAGGATGACGTGAGACATAAAGTCCATCTGAACACCTTTGGGTTCTTCAAGGACGGGTACATGGTAGTCAACGTCAGCAGCCTCTCTGTGAATGAACCTAAGGGAGCCGTGAAAACGAAAGCTGAGGTGAGTGTCTTCAGATAGAATGGGGATTACTCTTTCACTCCCTCCCTTCTTGCCTAACTGGAGAAAATTCTCCATGGTGGTATCATCATGAATCTGCTTTACTTTATACTTCCTGTGGTCAGTGAGATGCTGGGGGTGGAACCCAGGGCCTTTCCCGTGGTAGGCAAATGCTCTTTACCACTGAGTCACACCCCAGCCCTAAGCTTTTTTTTTTTTAAACATTATTTATTTATGATTTTATGTATGTTAGTGCTTTGCATGTATACCTGCACACCAAAGAGGGAACTGTGTCTATTACAATGGTTGTGAGCCATCATGTTGTTGCTGGGAATTGAACTTAGAACCTCTGGAAGAGCATAGCAGCCAGCACTCTTAAACACTGAGCCATCTCTCTAACCTTGCAATTCTTGAATAAATGTATAATTAGTGATTTTACTTGAGCAGCTATTTCCATCTTTCAAGAGAGCACTTAAGAAAGATGAGAAGCCAGGCCTAAGGAACTATGCTGTCAGTGTTTTTACTTCATTTTTCCTACTCTTTGCGTGAGAAAGGCATGGACAGTGTGAGGGACTTAATCTTTTCTCTCTTCACTGCCCTCAGATCGGCTTCAGTCTAGATCGGACCAAGAACGATGGCTTTTCTTCTTACCTGGTAAGTTGCTTTTTAAAAAATTAACTAATGTGGTATTTTACCTGCATGCTTACCTGTGTACCACATACTTGCCTGGTCCCATCAGAGGTCAGGAGAGTTGGATCCCCTGGAACTGAGTTACAGACAGTTCCTGTAAGAGCAGTAAGTACTCTTAACAACTGAGTCATCTTCCCATCCACCCCCCTTTTTCTTCTGAGGGGACAGTAGGGATTTATTGTATAGCTCAAGATGGCCTCCTGCATCAGTCTCTCAAGTGCTAGGATTACAGGCATGAGCCACCATTGTTTGTATCCCAGAGTAGCCTGGAACACACTATATACCTGAGGCTGGCCTTGAGTTTCTGATGTCCCTACCTCTGCCTTCTAGGTGCTAGGATTGCAGGTGCCTGATTCGTTTTAGGTCACAGTCTGACTGGTGCCCTCACTGGAGCTCAGGATACCCTTCAGCCCACAGTGCCTGTGCTGGAGGTGGCAGCTACTATAACTTCTGGCTTCACTGTTGAGAGAAGCCTGGACTCCTATCTTTCTTGTTCTTGCCACAGTGAGTGTGATGATAGATGCTTGTTCTTCCTTTGGCAGGATGAAGATGTGAATTACTGTATTTTAAGAAAACAGTTTATGTCTTCTGTTACCCTTCTCATCTTAGACATCTCTGGAAGTGTGTAAGTAATTCTGAAGTCCTCTCTGCTCGCCCTCAGTGCAGTGAGGGCACTGGCTGCAACAGCACTCGCCCGATAGCTGCCACGTGCCAGTCCTTCGCTGAGTGCTGGAGGTGAGTTACATGGGCCACCTGGGAGGACAGCAGATGAAGTACAATCCAAATGACTGCAGCAAAGTAGAGAAAAGAGCCACCCCCGCCCCCAACACACACACACACACACACACACACACACACACACACACACCAGCAGGGAAGGACAGTTTCAGGTCAAGGTTAGGCAGGCAGCCTTCTGGTGAGTCAGCTTTTCCAGATGAATGTGAGCAGGAAGGGTGTCCTTGTCTGCAGGAGAGAGGGTGGTCTGTGGAATAGCATGGTGATCAGCAGGTAAGAAAATGGACTGGATTCATGTGGCAGCTTATGCCACTCAAGAGCAATATAACTCCAGAGTTCAGGTCTTCTACCTCAGAGTAGTGGTGTCTCTTTTGTGAGATTGTCTTTGAGGTCAGGCTTAGTGACATAGGTGAAGGATGAATTAAAGGATTTTGTAGTGTGTGTGTCCCACACCCCCTACACCCCACCCCTACCCCTGGTTTTTTTGAGACAGGCTTTCTCTGTGTAACAGCTCTAGCTGTCCTAGAACTCACTCTATAGACCAGGCTGGCCTTGAACTCAGAGAGATCTGCCTGCCTCTGCTTCCTGAGTGCTGGGATTAAAGAGGTGAACACTTTTAATTAACTCATTAATTCCAGCACTCAGAAGGCAGAAGCTTGTAGATCTCTGTGAGTTCAAGTACAGCGTGATCTATAGAGTGAGTTTCAGGACAGCCAGGGCTACATGAAGAAACCCTTTCTCAACAAACCAAAAGAAAGAAAAGGTGTGTACTACTATGTCCAGCTGTTCTGCCTTATTTTCTTGACATAGAGTCTCTCACTGAGCCTGAATCTATGCTGATTTACCTAAACTAGCTGGCCAGTAAACTACAGCACCCTCCTCTGGCTACCTTCCTAACCCTGGGGTTGCGGGTTTACATTACATGTCCCACTTTTTTACACATGGCTTCTGGGAATCAAATTTGGGTCCTCATAATTCAGAGGCAAGTACCTTGCCAGCCAAGCACCTTCATGGCCCAGCCACTCCAATGTGTATGTAACTTCTCTCTTTTCCTTTTTTTTTAATGTTTATGTATTGTGTGGGTACATGTGCACAATGCCATGCATGTTTGTGGGAGTCAGTTCTCCCTGCTGTGTAAGTTCAGGGGTTGAACTCAGGTTCAGGCTTACCACTAGTGCTTTTCCCAGTGAGCTAGCTCTCTGGCCCTGTGTATGTATATTTTGCGAGAGAGCCTTCAAAGAGAGAATCTTGTGTCCAGATTGTTTTCAGACTTAGCTGTTAGCAGCCCAGAGTGGGCAAGGTAGAGATGAACAAGGGCAGAAGTAGAAAGACCATAGGAAGTTTCTTAAAGAGTAAAGCACTTTGCCACAGATATCCTCTCCCCTGGGCCTCACCATAGATATCCTCTCCTGGTCACCTCTGCTATCATCTGTCAGGAAGGCTGCAGTCTCCTAGGTTACAGTGTGTTTGGCAACTGTTAGAGAAAGGCCTCATTGAGCCTGGCAGGAGGAATGAGAGCAGAGATTGTCCCACCCACCTGAAGTCCCTAGGTGAACAGGCAGGCTCAGGAAAAGGCAGGTCAGTGGCAGCTTGCTCACATTAGGGATTTGTGCCTTTAATCTCTGCTCTCCTGTTCTTGGTGTTCACTCCATAGGCAGTGTCCTGGATATGGTTCTCAGCAATCACAATGTGGCTCACAACCACCTACAACTCCGGCTCTAGGGGATTGGAAGCCCTCTTCTGGCTTCTGCAGACTCCTGCATACACATGGTATACATAAACCCACATAGGTACACAAACACATAATTAATCTTTAAAGAAAAAAAGGAGAAAGGAGGAAATGGCTTTCAGGCTAGTAATTAATAGTGTCCTCAGCTCCTTACACACCCCTTCACTTTACTTGACTGTATTATAGAGCCTTATGTCTTCTTCTGTTTCCCTTTTCACCCTTTTAAAAAAAAAAAAAAAAAAAAAAAACACATTAAGAATCCTTAAGGGGCCAGGCGGTGGTGGTGCACGTCTTTAGTCCTAGTGCTCAGAAGGCAGAGGCAGGTGGATCCCTGTGAGTTCAAGGCCAGCCTGGCTCGTGCTCTGTCCTTGCATGGTTTCTCCAACCCTTGGCCAGCGCTTTACTCTTCCTGCAGCACAAAATGTAGATGGCAGAATCTATAGCTCCGCTGTGACAGGGACAGCACAAGGTACCAGATTCAGAGCTGGAGCTGGGTGAGGTGGTGTACTCCTTTAATCCCAGCGTTCAGGAGGTGGAGGCAGGTGGATCTCTGAGATTTCGAGGCTAGCCTGGCCCACAGTGAGTTCCAGAACAGCCAGGGCTGTTACACAGAGAAACTCTGTCTGAAAAACAAACACACAAAAAATAACAGAGCTTGAGCTGGGCCATCAGCAGCATTCAGGGAAGGCTGGAGCATTGCTCTGAACTCTCCTTTCTGTCTTCTGTGGATATAGAGTCAAGGTCAGATCCCCACCAGAAGCTGGCACCCAGTTACCAAAGATTGTCTTCAGCAAGGATGTGCAAGTCCTGAGTCAGAGCCGGGAGCCTGCTGTCAGCTCTGTCCCCACAGACAACAGCAAGGTGCAGAGAGCCCAAGGTAAGCCTGCTTTGTAGAGATTGTGTTTTCAAGAACTGCAGCCTGGCGCTCTAGAGGCTGCACAGAACTAACTGTAACCAAAGAAGGATGTGGAAGGAAGAAAGAAGTGAGGCCTCTCCTCTCCTTTCCCTGCTTAGGCTTATTTCCTCAGCCTAGAGCATGGTGCCTCCCAGCTCCTAGTCATATGTACAGCCTGTGCATGCCTATTGGTTTCATTTTGTTTCACCCCACAGTCCAAGAAAATGATGCTGTCTCTTGCAGCCTTTTCTTTGAAGTGATCCATTGTTATCTCCAGGTATTGGGGCACTGAACTTCTTCATTCCTAGAAATCCTTTTGTGTAGGAGCTAGAGAGATGGCTCAGCAGTTAAGAAAGCTTGTTTCCCCTCCAGAGGACCAAAGTTCACCTCCCAGCACCCATATCAGGAGGTTCATAACACCTGTAATCACAGTTCCAAGGGATCCAAAGCCCTTCTGAGCTCCACAGGCACCCATACATGTGGCACATACATACATACATACATACATACAGACAGACAGACAGACAGACAGACAGACAGACAAAAATGTGCCCCCCCCCCCATAGGGTTTCTCTGTATAGCACTGGTTGTCCTGGAACTTATTCTGTAGACCTGGCTGGCCTTGAACTCACAGAGATCCACCTGCCTCTGTTTCCTGAGTGCTGGACCACCACTGCACATTTAAGGTAAGTCTTTTTAAAAAGGAAAATTATTGTGTGTGTAGTACTGTCTTTAGGATGGGTTAGTGGAGCTTGACTCTCTGAGAATACTGACACGCCATTCCAGGTCAGCTGGGCGGTCAGCATCCATCAGAATGCAGAAGTGTTGGCCACTAACACTGCTATCCTGAGTAGTGTTTTTGTTTTATTTGTTTGTTTATCCAAAGTGCTGGGCACTGTGAATATCTACATTCCAGTATTTGGGAGGCTAAGGCAGAAAGAGCACTTGTGCCCAGTCAAAGCAAGCCTGTGCAGCAAAGGGAGACCCAGTTTGGAGGAAATGCAAAAATGAAAAGTCAGAAGAGACCCACGTTGGATTTCTTTTCCCTTTTCTGTTGTTTTGTGGAGAGGAGTTTGTCTGATCACGCCTTGAGCTCCTTCTTCCTGGGCCATACACCTCTCTCCTGATGTGGATGTGTTGAATTAACTGTCAGTCCCATCTAATGGTTCATATACATCCTTCCAAGATCATTTACCACTTACGTTGTTACTCATCTTCCCCTAGATTTGTCGAATGTTGATGCAAATTAGGAATCATAGGAAAGAACTGGAGTGTGATGTGCAGTTCCATGCCTGTGCTCTGGCTCTGGTTTCCCAAATCCCTTGTGCTCATGAAACACTGTCTTCCTGCAGTAGGGCTGCACTGCTGTCTTAGTTAGGGTTTCTATTGCTGTGAAGAGACACCATGGCCAACTTTACAAATGAAAACCTTTAACTGGGGTGGTCCATTATTATCATGGTGGAGTACATGGTGGCATCTAGGCAGACATTGTGTTGGCTACATCTTGGCTTGCAGGCAACAGGAAGTCAACTGACGGAAATCCTGGGTGGTGTCCTGGGCATAGGAAACTTCAGAGCCCACCCCCATACTCTCACACTTCCTCCAACAAGGCCATGCACACTCCAACAAAGCCACACCTCCTAATAGTGCCACTCCTATGAAATTATGGGGCCAATTACTTTCAAACTACCACAACTTCCCCAGGAGGGGTGTCCTAAGAACAGTGAAGTGATGCAAGTGCCCACTCTGTTCCATGAAAAAAGCTGCTAGTAATGTTTTGTATGGTTGGTTTGGTTTTTGAGACAGAATCTCATAGCACAGTCTAACTTTGACTTCTCTGTGTAACTGACCTTAAACTTATTCTTCATCTTCCATAATACCCAGAGTACTATGGTTACAGGAGTGCACTACTACACTCAGTTTCATAGGGTGCTAGGCATCTAGAGCCTCATGCATGCCAGGCTAACACTTTGCTAGCTGAGTTATAGCCCCAGCCATCTATTAGTCAGCTTCTTCTTTTTCTTCTTCTCCTTCTCCTCCTCCTCCTTCTCCTTCTTCTTTTTAACTTAGTTAGGTTTTTTAAAATTAAATACAATTTGTCATTTTTATCCACTAGTAATCTTAACACACTGTTGTTAGGGGGACCCCCCCAAAATCAACAATGAAAAAAGAGTAAGACACCTGAAAGTCCAGACTGGTGGTACAGCTCAGGGAAGAGTCTGCTTCCCAAACACAGGCTGAGTGTCATCCCCAGCATGCTCAGCACCACACACAGAGTCTACCACACTAAGATTTTCTCCAAGTCAGCTGTATCAATTAGATGCTTGTTAAAACTGCCTCTGCACGTGCTGGCTTAGAAAGCATGGAGGGCTGTTTTATGTGTCATCTCTTTTGTCCACATTATTTCTTTCCTTTGGTTTTATAATGATTGACACAGTAACACTTGCAGTATGCCACTTTGATTTGCTACTTCTACTGCCCTGTAATTATGTTTGGGGACCTTAAGAGATAGAGGCATTGAGGTTTGTTTTGGTGATAGGATATTAGATTAGCTGGAGCCCTGTAAAATGATACTGTGATTTATGATATGTGAGGTGAATTAGGCAGTGATAGCTTTTAAATGTTTGTGCTTCTAGATGGTTCGAAGTCTAGAAGAAGTGCAGTGGATTCAAAGGTAAGCATGGATCTCCTTCTTGCTCAGCTTCTCTAGATGTGCATGTGTGCTTGCGTGTGTGTGTGTGTGTGTGTGTGTGTGTGTGTGTGCATGTGCATCTATGTGTGCGTGGCACATGGCTTGTGTTTGGAGAGACAGCATCAACACACTGAAACCCTTTCAAACATATATGGAGTGCTGGATTACATAGCACAGGGGAAGCCAGAGCTTTGGGGGTGCCCCTTAAGACAGACCTGGGCAGTACAGGTGGTACAGGGTGCTGACATGCAGGCCATCGGAGGTTAGTTATTGGAGCTCATGATTCTGAAAAACGCTGTAGGGACAACAGGGTGATCCCAGGCCCAGGAAGGACCTGCTGTGATAAAACAGGGTTGAGATGAATTAGCCTAGAGCTTTGGAATGTAAAACAAGGTTCTGCCTTGGGGGAGATGGAACAGTGGAAGAGAAGAGAGAAGTGTCATTGCACGAAAGTGAGCAGGAGAGCAGAGAAGAGTTTGTTTTGGAATGTCCTAATTCCTCAGTGAGGAGTTTGTGTTGTTTGTTTACAGACAGGATCTCCTGTAGTTCAGGCTGGCTTCACCTTGTTACATAGCCATGTTATGAGCAGGTTTTTCCTGCCAGCCGGTCTGGTCCCATAGCCGCACCAGCCCCAAATAACACACAGAGACACTGTATTTAATATAAAGCTGTTGGCCAGGTACTAGTTTCTTATCGGCTAGCTCTGTCTTAAATATTAACCCGTTTCTATTAATCTAAGTACTTCCACGTGGTCTTACCTTAACAGAGAGAGGGCCTGGCGTTCTGCTCTCTCCATCCTCCATCTTGGATCTCATCCCTCCTACTTCCTCTCTCCTCTTGGTCTCTTAGTCCCGCCCATCTTGTTTTCCTATTTGCCAACAGTGCTTTATTCATTAACCAATATGAGAAACATATTTACAGAATGACATCTCCCATCATAGCCAAGGTTATGGTCCTCCTGCCTCTGCCTCCCAAGCTAGGATCATGTGTGCACATACCAGGCCTAGCTTTGTTTCTTGCTTCCTACTAACCATTTTTGCAAAGGTGAGATTGGGTGACAATTTATAGGGGCAGTTAGATACATTTGACCTGCCGATCAAGATTGTGGATGTGTTCATTACTTCAATGGTTTCTCCTGCCCCCTTTGATCCTGTGCCCAGGGAACAGTCACTGCAGTAGACAGCAGCTTTAGGGGGCCTTATAGAAATGAGCCATGCAGGATGTATTCTGTTCAGCATAACTGTCAGTTTATCCTGCTCCCATGTATATATAGCTGGTTTCTTTCCATGGCTTGCTATTAATCTCTTGGCTTGTGCAGTAGACAATGTTCTGGTATTTCAAGTCAGGAGCAGAGTCTGGGTAGGATGTTTGGCTCTGCCCAGGGCAGCATCCTTGGTCCTGCAGAAGCTGTAGAGTAGAGAGACACTCACAGGAAGACTGGGGAAGGGCTTAGAGAGTAGCCAAGAAGGAAGGAAATGGGGAAGGGAGCTGCCTTCTCTGAGACATGATCTTAGACCTATCTGGAAAGACAGTAAAAAGCTTTGTCAGAGAGCTCTCAAAGGTCTTCAGTCAAGTTGGTGTTGAAGAAGAGCTTTATTTTTAGTTAGCCTTATTTTTATTTTGTGTGTATTAGTGTCCTAATTAGGGATATTTTTGCCATGATGAAAACACCATGACCAAAAGCAAACTGGGGAGGAAAGGGGGAAAGGGTTTATTTGGCTTACATTTCTACACCATAGTTCATCACTAAAGGAAGCCAGGACAAGAACTCATGCAAGGCTGGAACATGGAGGCAGAAACTGATGCAGAGCCCATGGAGGGTGCTGCTCACTGGCTTGCTCCTCATGGCTTGCTCAGCCAGGACCACCTGCACAACACAAAATGGCCTGGGCCCTCCCTCATCAATCACTAATTAAGAAAACACCCAACAGCCAGATTTTCTTGGGGGGGGATTCTCAATTGTTTTCCGTCCTTCCAGGTGACTCTGGCTTATATCAAGTTGATGTGACACTAGTACAATGAGTATTTCCCTGCATGTATGTATATGTTTGTTTATGTCTGTGTTGGATCCTTTGGAGCTGTAGTTAGAGTTTGTAAGTCACCATGTGGGTACTGGGAACTAAATGTGGATTCTGTGTAAGAGCAGTAATGTTCTTAACAACTAAACCATCTCTCCAACTCAACTAGCTTTTGTTTATTTTTCAAGATAGAGTTTCTCTGTGTAGCTTTGGCCTTCCTGGAAATTGTTCTGTAGATCAGGATGACCTTGAACTCAGATATTCACCTGCCTTTCAAGAGATTAAAGGCATGTGCTGCCACCACCACCTAGTTTAGCTTTAATTTTTTAAGTGTTTGGGTGTTTTGCCTGCATGTATGTTATGTGTATCACACGCATGCAGTGCCCATAGAGGCCAAAATAGGGCATCAGATCGCCTGGAATTGGAATAACAAAACAGTTGTGAGATTCTGTGTTCTGGGAATTGAACCCAGTACCTCTGCAAAAATAGCCAGTGATCTTAGCCATTGAGCTGTATCTTTAGCCCTTCCAATTAGCTTTGATTTTCCTAAGCTTGTTTTATGACACTTTTGGCCTGAAACAGATTCTTGTGTCTTTTAGGCAGCAGCAGAGAAATCCTTCTCAATTCATAAGAACAATGGTGCAGTTTCATTTCAGGTATGAGTCACCTTAGAGTAAAGTTTACTCCATCTCTGCCATGTGAGAGGGTGAGTCTTCCCTAGCACCTTGCTCATGGATCCCTTGGCTGCAGGACCACCCTCCTCCCACCACTAGGCGGCTAGCTAGCTCCGTGTGCTAACCAAGCCATGAGTCTGTGACAGTGAGAAACCTTGTGAAAGTGCAGTGTGAGTGTCAGGACCCAGTTCCACCTCCACTCTGCTTTTGTCCTTTTGTGAGCCCTCTTCGTCTCCCATCCAGCAGTCATGCTCTCACCCAGGTGTGACAGAAGCTGACAGTTGTGCACCTGGAATGACCTGTGCTAAGAGTGAAGGTGGTATAGTTTTAGAGGGGAGGTCAGTGAGGCCCAAAGCCCGTGAGAGCCCTACCCGGGCAGCCCAGCAGTGAGGTACATGGCACTGCTTTCCCCATGCGAGCTATGCCTTTCTTTACTTGGAAGAGCCTGCAGTGGCACACACTGGTCCTGTGTGTATAGCACTTTTAATCAGTTGTGACAAGCAGTGGCCACTGTTAATGTTTCAGAAAGTGATATAGTTTGTTGACTTGGAAATGAGGTGCTGGGTCTTTGGCTACCTATGCTGACCTCAGTAGAACCATCCCAAGCAGGTGGGATTAGAGTTAGAGAGCCCAGGCCACTGTGATTAGGTGATCACCACAAGGTTCAAGCAGCCATCTCTGTGCTTGAACACTGACATAAGGTACTAGAGGCTCACAAGATGAGGACATCCCCTCTGACCTCCGCTCTGGAGGTTCCGAGGCCAGCTCGCCTCTGCTGCTGGGAGCTGTGGCTGAGGCTGTGAGTACCTCTTTCTCCCTCATTTCCAGTTCTTCTTTAACATCAGCACTGATGACCAGGAAGGCCTGTACAGCCTTTACTTCCACAAGTGCTCAGGCAGCAAGTCCCAGCCTAGTGAGCAGGTCTTATTCAGCCTGAATGTGAGTACCTTTGGGGCCTGCTTCTCTGTAAGAGCAGGGTGGGTTCTGTGGGAGCTTGTCTCTTTTATTTTGCTTTGGGTTTGGTGCTAGGAATGAAGCAGGGCATTGTTCACCCTTTGCCATTGAGGGCATGTGGAATGTCACTTTGAAAAAGCGGGCAATGTGTGCCCGCAGAGGACCTGTGAGGAAGGAAGTGTAGAGCTGGGTGGGGTGTGTTCACCAGTCCAGACAGTCACAACCTGCTTGTTATCCACTGGCACATATGCTCTTGAGCTTAAGTGAGACAGCTGTGAATGTTTATTGTCTAAGAGGGAACATCCATCTTCCACTGGTTACAGATTGATATCACTGAGAAGAACCCTGACAGCTACCTCTCTGCTGGGGAGATCCCTCTCCCCAAGTTGTACGTTTCCATGGCTGCCTTCTTCTTCCTTTCTGGGACCGTCTGGATTCATTTCCTTCGTAAGCGAAGGTAAGTACTCTCAGTGTGTGAAGTGCTGCGTATTTCGTCCTGCTGGATTCTGCCCCTAGCGGAGATGGCACTGAACAGCCCTGCCAGCTTCAGGGTGTCTTCCTAGAGACCTAGAGGCTAGTGGGAGGCTCTGCCTGCTGTGCTGTTGACCACTCTTAGTGTTCTCTTTAGAGAGCGGATCCAACTGTTATCATAGACAAGCAAACACAATGCGAGTTTTGCCCTCGCAGAGACGTGCTAGCCCAGGAAGCTTCACACAGGGGGTGTGTTTCCAGGGTCGTGCCTTTCAGGGGCCATTCGTCTTGAGACAGTTAGTGATGATGCCACTGCCCAAGTGGAAGCTGAAAGCCTCCAGCTCTTCAAGCTTCACCTCAAAGCCTCTCTAGACTTTCTCTGTGTCCACCAGGAGCTTGAGCCTGGGGGAAAAACCTTTAGAGCCCTTCTGCCTTTCACCAGGACCTTTGTCCCAAGCTCTGAGGCTCTGGCTTTGTGTTCTTTGTTGTTGAGTGGAGTGGCTACTTAAGTATGACTTCCATGCCTCCCTGCCCAGAAATCTTGGAACAAAATAGTGTAAAGTATTTTTACATTAAAAGGCCCCTAGACCTAGGGTATGCAAATCTGATACACCGAGCTACCCAAAACTCACATAATTAGATGCCCCAGATACCCCTTCCTGGAGTATTGGGGCAGATGCTGAAACCCCTGGTGTCTTGGTTGCCTTTCAGCAGACACACCATCTTAGATGTGGGCTCTTTTTAAAGAATCTTGCATGCCAGCTTAAATGGCTAAAAGCACTTGCTATCAAGCCTAATGGTGACTTGAGTTCAATCCCCTGGTTCTATGTGGTAGAAAGAGAAAAGTTGTCCTCTGATTTGTACATATTCACTGTGGCTTTGCCGCAAGCACACACTTGGCCTGTGACTTTCCATCTGCCTCTCTTCACTGTGTCACTTTCCTCATCTTCAAAACTGGGGCAGTAATAACTGCCCTTCTTTCTGCAGAGCCTCTTAACATCATTCGCTCTGCTCTATGTCTTTGTACCCGATAAAGAGGGCTTAGCATCAGGGTGCTATGCAAATGAGGTACTCATATTTCCTGGTGTTTCATTTCCCTTTACTCAGCAATGGCAATGTCATTGTCTCAGCTCATGTGGATAAAATGGTGGCTACAGTTTTAAATCTGTGGTTAAGCGGGCCTGACCTATTTTGTGCCGGTCACACTTTTAGTTTTTTGTGGATATGTATGCATCTATAAAGATGCAATTTAAGCCACTCCCATATGATAGCCTGGGAATATCCATAGTTTGGAAGTTTGTGTTATACATAGTCATATGACCCCCAAGGCTGCCAGGAGTGTTCAGGACACTTGTTACTCTCTTAGAACTGGAAAGAATAAGACATCTTTGACACATAAATATACTGAGGCCCAGAGAGTGGAAATGAGAAACAGTCAGTTACCTGACTGAGCTGCGGCCGGAAGCCAAGGATGCCTGCTGGTGCCTGCCTCTCCTTTCAGGTTTAGTGTGCTGTGCACCCCAGAGTGTGAGCGAGGAGGGCTGCACTGGCAGAGTGAGAGGCAGCTGGTGATTTTCAATGTTTATAGGTTGGCTGCCACCCTGGGCTTGTTGAGGTGGAGTTGTGACATTTCAGAGATGAAGGTCATCAGGGCCGAATCAGTGCAGAGTCCAGGTTGCCATGGTTTCAGAGCCTTTTATTGCTCCAGCATGGGTGCTTAACTGAGAAACACAAGTCAGACTTGCCTGGATGTGAGAGTGGCCTTTTATAGTAGGCAGTGTTGCACTCTGGTTACAGTCCGCTGCCATTCAATAGTGACAGACTGACTGCTCTGGCCTTGACTTCCTTCTTGACCTTCAAGTAAGTAGTCACTAGGAACTACCCAGGAAATAACCTCAGAAGCCCAGTGTGCTCAGCTTGTGTTGTGGTCTCATTATTACTTTGTGCATGCTCCTCTCTCAAGTGACCATACCCCCTTACTTCCTGTCCCTTGCCCACTTTTCCCCAGCCACGGAAAGTCACCCAATATGCTGAATATACAGTTTGGGGCATTTGTATGTTCTTGTAAGTAATGTCTGGATTTTTGGTTTGGTTGGTTGATTGGGGTTTTGGGGGTTTTTTTCTGTATGTTTTGAATGTACAGAAAGTGCTGTCTGCAGATGCAGCTGCTGAAACCACCTTTCCCACCAGCTGTACTGATGAATTGGCATCCAAACGGCTGGTTTTAGCCACACCACAGTCCTGTGAGCTGTATTGTCAGGTGTTGCCCCTGTAGCTCTTAGAGACAGGTCTACATCCAGGTTGCCACTGTCTCCCTGCTGCCCTAGACAGTGCTGGTGTAGCCTGATCTCCTACTTTCTGAGGTCTCCTAGGCACTTGTCCTCTGAGTAGTAGTCCTGAGCAGAGGCCCACAGGGTTGTGGCCTACTCTGGCTTAGTTTTATTGTTGTTGGATTGCCCACCTTATGGCTACACCACTTCTACTTTTGGCAGGGGAGCCTGAGACCTGTCACCATCCTTTTACCACAACTGACCTCTTGATATGTGCCAGTCTGGTGTATGTAAACTTCTGGGTCTTACTTCCTTCCCTTGTCTCTTAATGTCCTTGCTAGGCACTATCATTTCAGGCTCATATTGTTTGCATATTTTCCTGTTGGATTTTCTCATTGTCTAGCTGCTTTGCATGAACAAAACTCTTGTGTGTTCTAGATTGCTCCCTCATGCAGGGTTTGTCTCCAGTCATTGCAGTCACATGGCTTGTCAGCAGTGTGTTGTTGGATGAAGGTTTTAATTGTGATGGAACCCCACCATCTAATTTTGTTTTAGGGTAGTGTTTCTTGGGTCTAAGGGACCCTTTGTGATTCCAGGTCAGAAGGTGTGTTTCATTCACAGCTGAGCTATTCTAGAACCCTCTAGGTAAGTGGATAGTGAGACCAGCTTTACCTTCTTCTACGTGTAGGTTCCATATAATTTTCTGCCACCACAATCACTTAACAGTCTGTCCTTTCCCATAAAGTTGGACTCATTTTCTCTTCCATCAAGCTCCTACACATGTGTGCTTCTTCCTTCTGCACTCTTGTCTGTTCCTATTCTGTGCACTTACCTGTGGGAGATTGCCAATGTCTTGATGTGTGAGAGTGTACATGTGTCCTTGGCACTTACTCAAGTCTTTGTATACTTTAAGAGTTTTATTTTTCTTCATATAGCCTCAAGTTTCTTCCTACAGGAGTAGGGGTAGACACAGGAGGAAGAATCTAATGCCTGGAGCTCAAGGGTGGCCTAAAGCTTGTGAGGGGAGATGGGGTGGGAGCTTTATCTACTGGGCTTGTGCAGCACTTTGTCCTCACTTGTCACCATGACCTGGTCCCAGCCACCGCAGTTACACTTTGTCTTCTGTCTTCCTGGGATTTCACGATGTCTCTAGGATTGCCCTTCCTCGTTGCTGTGTGACTCACTCAGTGTGGTTTCCAGGAAGCAAAGTGGTGGACTATGTTAGATGTCCATCCTAGCACACCTCAGCAGCCATCCTGCCTGTCTGCAGTGCATAACTCTCAGTCACTGCATGAAACTGTATTGGAAATGTCGTGGGACTCTGCCTTAGTTTTCTGTTACTGTGATAAGATACCGTGACCAAGGTAACTTATTTGAGGCTTACAGTTCAGAGGCTGAGCCCACGACCATCATGGTGGGAGCATGACAGCAGGCAGGTGTGCCTGGTGCCAGAGCAGGAGCTGGGAACTCACATCTGATGCACAAGTAAGAAGCAGAGAGCTAACTAGGAATGACTTGTCATTTCCCGTGATACACCTCTTGCAACAAGACCACACACACCACCTAACCCTTCCCAAACAGTTCTACCAACTGGAGACCAAGCATTCAACCCTGTGAGCATGTGGGACCATTCTCATTGACACCACCACAGACACATCTGAGGCCATTCCTACTGGCAAAAACTGCTTTGTAAAAAGAAAAGAAAATGACTTCATGTTTGTGGTTTGCTCAGATTGTACTTGCTGCTTGCTTAGAAATATATCTGATGAAGCTGGTCATAGTGGTGCATACCTTTAATCCCAGCACTCCAGAACCAGGCAGATCTCTATGATTTCCAGGACAGCCGGGGCTATGTGGAAAGGTCCTGTTTCAAAAAGCAAAATAATGTACCTGACACTGTGGCTGCCTTTGGGGAAGTGGAGTCTTTTAATTCTTTCTTCTCTCTTTTTATAGGAATGATGTGTTTAAAATTCACTGGTTGATGGCGGCCCTTCCTTTCACCAAGTCTCTTTCTTTGGTGTTCCATGCAGTATGTATTAGCATTTGGGGTCATTTGTGAAATAATGGATGTGCATACTTGATTGGGAAAACAAGTTAGAAGGCAGGAGACAGGTGGGAGCAAAGGAATAGAATGTGTTTCTCATAAAGCCCCTTGTGTGGAGAACTGGCCACGGGGCCAGTGAGCTCAGCCTCCTGTACTTTTGTTTTTGAGATAGTCTTACTCCAGCTCAGGCTGGCCTTGAACGCCTTGTGATTCTCCTGGTTTAGCCTCTTGAGTCCTGGATTATAGATTTCTCTGTACATGTCAAGCACACTTCCCCCCCTTGTTTCTGTCATCTGGACATTAGTGTGCCCCCTGCTGGTCGTTCTTGGATTTTCCTCATTTTACTAAGCATCCCTGTATTTCTGCCAGTGAAGTTCAGTATTAGTAAACTTAGTGGATAAAAGTACCAGATCAGGAGCCCAAGAACTGAGCTTTTGACTACTGAGAACCAGTGCACATCAAAATGAGCTTGTCTGTGGGGCCAAGATCACAGCTTCCCTGATTTGGGGGGTCTGTGAGATATGCATAAAGTGCATGTAGAATGGAGTGGTAGAGGAAAGCAAAAACAACAGACATGGCAGTTACTTGGATAATTACCCCTTTGGATTTAAGTTAAGAGACTCTTGGGATGGCCTCTGAGCCATTTTAAAATCATGATGCCGTTTAGAAAATGAAGGCTGTGTGCTGTGGCCGACCTTCCCGGTCCTGCCAGGAATCTGCCTCTTAAGTTAAAATGTTTGGCAGTCCCAGGTGTTTAAACTTGGAGTTGGTTGAAGCCAGGTCCCTGTACATGGGTCTTTTTACTGACCGGCTGGCCTCTGTCTTCACAATGAGCAGCATGCATGGATGGAGAGTGAGAGCATTTGCCAGTGTGAATCCAGCTAGTGACCTGGGCTGGCTATTAGGGTCATTAAAGCCCTGTCAACCTGTCTCAGTTAAGCGTGTTAGCATACTATGCACTTGCTGGTGACTTGGCAGTGGAGGTATTAGACAGTGGGGTGGCCGGGCAGAACCCATTCCCCATCCCAAAGTTTCCTGGAGTCATTTTTGCTTTACCCTGCACTGGTGTGCGTGGCACCACCTTTCTGAATCACAACTGTTTGGTTTCAGATCGACTACCACTATATCTCCTCCCAGGGCTTTCCGATTGAAGGCTGGGCTGTTGTGTACTACATAACTCATCTGTAAGTATGCTGATCCAAGAGATAGTGGTGTTAGTGCCTGCACCATGAAATGCCTTACAGAGATACTTAAGGGCTAGAGCTGGGGATGCGGCTCAGTTGGTAGAGTGCTTACCAAGCATGCATGACTCCCTGGGCTCCATCCCCAGCAAAAACTCAGCTTGGTGGTACACACCAATGATCCTAGCACTCAGGAGTTGTAGACAGAGGCAAGAGAATTTGAAGTTCAAGATCATCTTTAGCTGCATTTTGAGTTAAAGTTTGAGTTAGCTTGGGTTATGTGGAGAAAAAAAAAAAAGAATAAAAAGAAATAGGGGGCTAGAGAGATGGCTCAGTGGTCAAGAGCACTGGCTGCTCTCCCAGAGGTCCTGAGTTCAGTTTCCAGTACCCACATGGTGACTTATAACCATCTATACTGTGATCCAGTGCCCTCTTCTGGCATCCAAGCATACATACATACATACAAACAGACAGACAGACAGACAGACAGACCACTCATACACATAAATAAATCTTAAAGGAAAAAGGAAGAAGAAATGGCGGGGGATGTGGAATCTTGGAATGAGTTGACAGGCTAACTGGTAGGACTTGAGTCTGGAGAGCCTTGCAATATCTATGAAATATTCTGTCTTTCAGTCTAAAGGGGGCGCTGCTGTTCATCACCATTGCTCTCATTGGCACTGGCTGGGCCTTTATCAAGCACATCTTGTCTGATAAAGACAAGAAGATCTTCATGATCGTCATCCCACTCCAGGTACTGTTAGTGTGGCTGGCTTGTCAATCCTCCCTGGCTCTGGGCGGGGCTCAGCTTACTTGGAAACCTGGGCTTCTGCATTGTGAGCTGCAGATAGGGGCTCCCTTTTTGAGCATTGGCAGACCTAGACTTCAGGTGTGCACTGGAAGTCCTGGAGGCTACTTGTCTTCAGACAGGGCATCCTAGATTGTGGTTAGAGAGCTGCAGGGAAGTGAGGGACAAATGCTGTCATAGCTTCTGCTTTAGCTGCCTGTAGCAAAATGGTTCTGTCTGTGAATAGGCCCAGGTGCTCTGCAGTATTTTAGAACTGAGTAGTAGCTTCAGTGAGTTTTCCTGCAAGGTGGAATAGGAGAGTGGCCCCACAGGGCTGACACTTTAAAACTCACCCCGTGTTTGGAGGCAGTGGTCTGAGACCTCACTAACAAATGCGTAGACCCTCCGGGAGGACTCATGGGTTGTCTTACACCAGCAATCCATGCAAGGAAGCAGAGATGAGCTGAGGACACCACAGTTGGGTACCTCTTCCCGGCTGCCTGGCCACAGCCACGCCTTTGGTAAGGTCAGCTCCTCCTGTTTAAGATCATAGCATGGGTGTAGCTGGCAGGAGAGGAAGGAACGGGGAATTTCCTGGGCCATGTCATCTCTGGGTATTGATTGGCTCTTTAGCCACCTTCAGCAGGGAGGAGTGTAGATTAGCACCAGACCTGTTATGCAAACCAGTTGCTGTAGGCTTTCTTGGGGGAAAGTAATCACTCAGAATGATCTAGAATCACCTTGCAATGGAGAGGGAAAGGAATGTGATAGGCAAAGGAGTAGCTACAGATACGTGTAACACTTGTCAGGCAAACCAGACAAGCTAAGGTCTTCTGGTAACCAAACCACCAGGGCCAGCTCTAGGCGGATGGAGTCCCATACCCTGCCATGGTTTTGTGAGTGTGTATCTGACAGAACCCAAGTTCTCTTTGCCCTTTGGGACTTGCCCTTCATGTCTTTCTGGCAGATTCAGGCTGTCTTGTTTGTTGACTCCTCCCTTGGCTTGAGCTGGGTGTGATGAAGAAGGCTCTACCCTGCTGACCCCTCAAAGGTGAACATGAGGCCATGTTGAGTGTCACCCAAGGAAACTAAGGAAGTTAGTGTTTAGACAATGGGTCTGATCTGGGAAGGTCTTGACCAAGGTCTAAGCAGCTTCCTTTTGCCATGGGGAGTACCAGAGAGGTTCCCCCCCCCTTTTGTTTCTCCTGTGGTTCTTGGCATGGAACCCAGGACTGGCAGTGCAAACACTGTGCTTGCCCCCACCCTAACCCTTACCTGAAAGCAGGAATGAGTTACATGGTGTTCAAGAGCACTGTAGGGCTCAGCACTGCCTCTGGGAACAGCTTTTTGCATGCAGAGTGTGTGAATTGGGGTTTGCATTGTAGAATAGTCAGGAAGCCAGTAAGCCCAGCAATTGTCCTGTCTCCACCCCACTCCAAGCTGGGGTTATATATAATGTGTTCAGGACCCTGACTTGTTAAATGGATGCTGGAATCCAGCCTCTGACCCTCGTGGTTGCCCGGCAAGCATTCTTAACTGCTGTGCTATCTCTCCAGCTTCAACATGCCTCATCTTTATTTCTGCATCACAGCTCATGTCATACATCAGGAACTTCCCTGATGCACAGTGGGGTCTCAAGCCCAAGGGCAGGGCTAAAATCACAAGGCAAAGCCCTGATTGCAGAAATAGAAGCAAGGCATGGAGGCAGATGTGTCCTGTGCAGTGTAGGGGACCTGGACTGGCTAGCCCCTGTGAGGGACAGAGAAAGTCACTGAAATCTGCACTTCTTGCCAATCCGACCTCTGGTCTCTGTATCAGCCACTTAGAATTGTTGCCCCTGAGGAGTGTTGGCACCCTGATTATGTGGAATGGGAAATGCCACCTGCCCAGGAGCTTTTGGCACTTTGAGTGCTCCCACTGATACATACTGCCCCAAACTTAATGATTTGAGGCAATGTCAAGTAGTAAATCTCCATTCCTATGGGCCAGGGATTTGGAGACATCTTAAATGGGTAGGCCTGACCTGAGGCCTGGTTGCAGTCTGACGGTGGCTGCAGTCTGGGGCAATGTAGTCTTCACTGAGTCTGTGTCCTGGGCTGGGAAGACCTGATGGGACAGAGAAACAGCTGAGGTTGCTTGGGCATCTCTTCGCAGTTTCTCTACAATGGCAGTTTAAGGGAGTCAGGCTTCTGGGTGACAATATCACTGCAGCCACAGGCTGGGGCTGACAGCTCAGGTGAGTGTCCCACTTGGACCACTGTCATAACAGCACTTAATGCCTTGGGGTCTCGTATTCTGTAGGTGCTGGCAAATGTGGCCTACATCATCATAGAGTCCACTGAGGAGGGCACGACAGAGTATGGCTTGTGGAAGGACTCTCTGTTCCTGGTGGACTTGCTATGCTGTGGTGCCATCCTCTTCCCAGTGGTGTGGTAAGTAACCTTAGGAGGACAGCGCATGTGCGGCTAGAGTCTCTCGGGGCATCTGAGAAAGACCCCAAGCTGCCCCAAATAACAGCTGGGGTGGGGTTCTGGGACTTCATAATGCCCCAGGCCTTACTTCCTGAGAGTGCACATGGGACTCCAGGAGAACTGGTCCGGGCCATGGGCTATAGGGCCCAGTTCTAACCTAGTCGAGAAGGGAGGCAGTGTAAAATGTCAGCCGGAATTTGGTAAGGGCTAAGTAGGAGAATCATTTTTCTTGCCAGTTTAGATGGGAAATGAGTACATACTTTGACATAAAACTAGTGGTAGTTCTCAGGCCACCCAGGTTTAGGGGCTCTGGAGAGTGACTTGCTCTGATCTAGAAATGGCAGGCTTCAGGCTTGGGCTTCAGTTGTGAGAAAAGAGGTGTCTTTGCTGTGCTCGGTGAGGAAGAGAGTCTTTGTGAAATCCTGGCAGAGAGGTGCAGATTTGCTATGTTAGTGCAGTCAGGTGGAAAGAACAGGTTGATGACAACACAGCTCATCCTTAGTGTCTGGTTCATGACTTCTCCAACACAGTTAGTGCATGCTGGGTTAATGTTGAGGGAGTGAGGTGCGTTCTCTGGCAGCACCCATTGCTGTAAGTCAGTGCTTTCCAGAACCCTAAGGTTGTCTGTCGGCTGTACTGTCCAACCACTATGATTATTAAGAGCACAGTTCCAGTTAGAGTCACCCTCCCCCTGGTCTTTGTATAACACAAGTATTCATGTCAACCAGCTGCTGCCAGTATAGAGGGGAACTAGGAGGGCTGGGTTTCTGTTGACAGAGTGCTTACCTAGCATACTTGAAGCCATGGGTTCTATCCCCAGCACTGCATAACATGGCAATGTGGTGCATCTGGACTCTCAGCATGGAGGAAGTAGAGGCGGAAGGATCCTAAGTTTCAGATCATCCTACATGCTACATTAACAAGTTTGAGGGCAGCCTGGGCTCTGTGAGATGCTGTCTCAAAGAAAGAAACGGGGGTGAGACCATTCCCATGCAGTCTCCTCAGCTGCCCTGCCATCTTGCCCCATTACCATCAGGATGGGCAGTGCTGTCCTCGGGTAGCAGGAGTTAGGTCCTATTCTTAATGTCTGTCTTTGGAACACTGAAGTACAAAGGTCCCAGATGAGCATTGTCTTAGTTACTTTTCTGTTACTATGATAAGAGACCATGACCAAGGCAACTTAGAGAAGACAGAATTTATGTGGGTCTCATGGTTTCAGAGGGTTGGAGTCTATAACTATCATAGCAGGGATCATGGCAGCAGGCAGGCAGGCATGGCACAGGAGTAATAGTTGAGACCTCACATCTTGATCTGTAAGTAGGAAGCAGAAAGTGTGAACCCAACCTCAAAGCCTGACCCCAGTGACACACCCCCTCCAACAAGACCACACCTCCTAATCCTTCCCAAACAGTTCTACCACCTGGGGAGAAAGTATTCAAGAATATGAATGAGACTGTAGGGTAGGGTGGGGGGGTGGGGTTGGGAGAGCATTCTCATTCAAACCATTGCAAGCATAGAGCCACCAAGCCACCAGTAGTCATTTCTTGTCAGTTGACCATAGCACTGAGAAGGTGCTCAGTGACAATATTCCTTATAGTACAGATCCTGAAAATTGCTACAAGAGATGAGATTCTAATAAATATAGAAGAAACAGCATCAGTGGGCTGGTGAGATGGTTCAGTAGCTGCTAAAACTAATGACCTGAGTTCGATCCCTAGAACCCACATGGGGGAAGGAAAAAAGCCATACCAGCAAGTTGTCCTCTGACCTCCACGTGGGCATGTGTACAGAAATACACACTAAGATTTAATTACAAATAAATAGCACTATAAATATCTGAAATACGTGATTCAGCCAGCCTTGGTTCAGCAACATCATAAACTGCTTTTATGCTGATAGCATCCATGTGTCCTCTTATGATGTTGGGGTACTTTACTGAGGTTTTAGAAGTGATTTGTCCATAGGTAAGAGGGTCAACATTAGGACAAGAACCCTGCGTACTGATCCCTGGCCACTTTTCTTGTACTTCCCTGTCTGTCTGCTCAGTGCAGGCAGGCTTTCTCCTGTGGCTCTGAGCTGTGCCTGCAGCTCCAAGCCTTTCTTAGTTATGTCTTGTTTCCCTGTGTAGCTCTGGCTAGCCTGTTGATCACTATCAGTCACAGCAGTCTTGAACTGTCAGCAGGGCTTCTGTGTCAGCCTCCCAAGTGCACACAGTACCTGACTTCATGGCATCTCTAATAATGTTAATGTCCACTGCCTAGAGCATAGTGATGGTGATTAGTTGTCACCTCAGCATAGCCAGAAAAAGGCTGCCAGAGACTGGCCTTTCCCAGAGCTATAAATCTTACCAAGTGCAGTGAGTTTACGTAAGGCCCTAGACACGCACAGCTGCTAGACCTCAATGTAGGAGTCAGCAGTGGCTTTCTCTTGGGTCATTTCCCCCTGGCTGGGCTGTGGAGTTAAATGACAGTGTTTCCACTGCCCCTCCTGCTGGCCCTAATTCTGCCAGCAGAGGGCATCTTCACCTCAGCTTGAGCACCATAAATGGCCAAGTGTGGACTGGCAGAGACCTTGTTTTAGGGAGGGTGCTGTCCAGTCATCCGGTCTGTTCCTTTTGGTTTACAATAGGGGTTCAGGTCCTAAGCTACTAGAGCCAGAAATAGAAGAGAATGCAGGCTCCTCTACTAACCTCTGCTCTCCACATGGTTATTTTTAGGTCAATCAGACATTTACAAGAAGCCTCAGCCACAGATGGAAAAGGCAAGTTCTCTTGTGCTCCTATGCGTCCCTCCCACTGCGCTTGCATTTGTCCTGCTGAGACCTGGGATAGGTTCCGGCTCCCCAGCACCAGCTTCTGGGGGACTCACTTTGTAGGGGCATCAGGGATGGTTTGGTGGGAAATCAGAGACAGAGATAGTTGCACAGGGAGGCCTGGGGCAGCAACTATCCATTAAGATTGTGGCATTTACCTTTTTTTTTTTTTTTTTTTTTTTTAAATGTTCTTCAAGACCGTCCTGGAACTCACTCTGTAGACCAGGCTGGCCTCGAACTCAGAGATCCACCTGCCTCTGCCTCCCAAGTGCTGGGATTAAAGGTGTGTGCCACCACCACCTGGTCCAAGATCTCGACTTTTCAAAACCAAAAGCAATAGAAAATCTCATGTCTTGAGGGGATACTTGTGTCTGGGAAGGTCAAAGAGCACTCACTGCTCCACGGGTAGTGTTGGCAGTGTGTGGCGTTCTTCTCATTGCTGCAGTGCACCGTGTATCCATGTTTGTTTGAGTTGAGACTGGAGGAGCCAAAAAAGTCTTTCTAAGCATTGCCCGGTGTCCTAGCACTGTACTGTTACAACTCCAGGCAGTTTTTGCCTTTCCATCTGTGTTGCAGAGAGTGAGCAGTGTGTTTCTCTGGACTGCCAAGTTTGTAGACTGGCCTACCAGGTGGAGGGACAATGCTTTTGGAGCACATGAAATTGCTCACCCGACTGCATTCCAGGGCCATCACTGAGCATTTTGCTTTGTTTTTGTTGGAAAAGTATGATTCATTTTAGAATATGTGGAAAATAATATACTAGCTGCAAGTCATTTCCTAGGGTTGATCATTTATACCAAGTTATTTCACTTTGGGGGGTTATTTTGTATGTATGTGTTTGTTTTTAATGATTTATCTTTTTATGTACATTGGGGTTTTACCTGCTTGTATGTCTGTGTGAGGATGCCAGATCCCCTGGAACTGTAGTTACAGACAGTTGTGAAAGGCCACGTGGGTGCTGGAAATTGAACCTGGGTCCTTTGGAAGAGCAGCTAGTACTCTTAACTGCTGAATCATCTCTCTAGTTCTGTTGAGATTGAAACAAGACATGTGCTTTGCTGCTGAGCTGGACCCCGCCCACCCCCACCATGTCCAAGTGTTTGTTGAATTGCTTGACTCCTGGCTTTGAGGTTTCACTTCACTTCAAGACCTGAATGTGCTCACTGGGTTATTTATGTTCTGTTCAGCTTGGACCCAGAGTAACCTGTCCAGCTGTTCAGGTTCCTGCAGATCTGGGCAACCCTGTATAGGAGACACTGCCCTGGTCAGAGCCCAGTTAGTATCCAGTGACTTCAGCAGTGGTTTCAGCAGGTGCCTAATGCTTGCTTTGTTCTCTCTAGTGCTGAGGTACAGCCTCTCTGTCACATGTTTTCTCTTCTTTCCTTCTGAAGACCTTTGACACCTACTCCCCTTCCATCCCAGATCATGCCTCCCTGTTCCCCCATGCCCTCTCCCTGTCCCCTACATCTTCAGCGGCACATTCTTCTCAGCTGTAGTACAGACATTTTGGGCCAGTGACTTCCCAGATCCAGGCAGAGCCCACCTGCCTCCTGCAGTGGGCAGAAGGGAGGAACACAGGGAAGGAGCAGTGTAGACATGGGACTCTGAGGAAGCACCTGCCCCGTGGGAAAGCACCTGCCTGGCTATGTTAGGATGTTCTGAGCCCATTGTTTTTGTTGTTTTATGTATATTATACTAAAAAGTGACTCACTGCTTTTATAACTTAATTCATAGGGGATGTCCCTGATGTATTAAAATGGGACATTTTGTGTTTTTAAATTTTTTTATGTGTGTTGTTCTGCCTGCAGATAGGCTATATACCATATGACTACGTTACAGACAGTTGTGAGCTGCCATGTGAGTGCTGGGAATTTTGAACCTGGGAAGAGCAGCCAGTTCTCATAACTGCTAAGCCATCACTCCAGCCCCCTATGCCTTTCTTTTCTGTTTTTGTTTGTCTGTTTTTTGAGGACAGGTCTCACTGGGTAGGGCTATCTCATCAAGCTGCTTTCTTGCATGCTTTGGTGTTTCTAAATTAAGATCCATCATCTTCCTTCCACTGCTTATCCTTCTAGCCTCTCCGAGGTCTGCCTTCTCCATGTTGTCCTCCATCTTGTACTAAGGTCCCACACGGATCTTAGCAGAGGATGACAAGAAAGGGCTTGGCCTATGGTAGATAGCACAATAGGTTCTCAACCTTCCGGATGCTGAGATCCCTTAATACAGTTCCTCAGGTTGTGATGACCCCCCCCCAACCATAACCTTGTTTTCATTGTTACTCCATAATATATAATTTTGCTACTATTAGGAATCATAAATATCTGATATGCAGATAATTGTAGGCAACCCTTATGAAGAGATCACACTCACAGGTTGAGAACCTTTGGTCTGGATTAAGGACACGTGAGGTCTTTCCTATGTCTTCCACCAGGTGGCGGTATGAGACTTCTACACTTGCATAAGCAGCCTTGTACACCACCTATGAGGAAGTGCATGTACAGAGCCCCTTACCCTAAAGAAGAGCAAGAGATGAGGGAGTCTTCTCTGTAGGGGTTTTTTGAGCTGATCCACAAGTGTGTGCTTCACTTTGTTCTTTGGAAAACAACTTCCATGTTCCCTCAGTGGAAGCTCCCACAGAGAAGCATGGTACCAGTAGTCTGCTAGCAGGCCAGGCTCAGTGTCACCATAGTATGGCCTTGCCTAAGGGGTGGGCACTGGGTCCTCCGGACCTAAGGGAAGGTCTGCTCTGGGATCTGGAGGCACAAGGTCAGATGGAGCTCATCACCCATTGATCTGTCACTTGGCCTCAGCAGTAACTTGGGTATGTGTAGATGCAGTGCAGGCTGAGCAAGCAAGAAAACGCTGCTGACATGACTTTGAAGGAGTGTGTGTTGTGCTCATGTGTACCCCTTTGTCTCTGGATTCCCTTTGGCTGAACCTGGGGAGAAGCTGCCTGAGTCCTGCCTTTTTCTTTTCCTCCACACACTGAGGGCTCTCCCAGGTCATCTGCCACAGTCTTTGAGGGGCCTGGTGGTTGCCTGTGCTCTACTTCCTGCTAAGATCTGCTGGCTGCTTGGCCCTGGAACTGCAGCCAGATTCCTTCTCTCTCCAGTTCTCTCTCTGGTGTTGTTACCTGACAGGAATGGCTTGGGAGTATACTGCATACTTGATTGATGGGCCCTACTTCTAGTAATCTGGTTTTTCGCCTTCTGTTCCTGAGGGGAAGGCAGAGGAAGAGCTTTTCCTTTTTACGTGCACTTCAGAAACATGGTGTGATTGGACGGCTGCAGGCTGGTGGAGACACAGCCTCATTCTGAGCAGCTGCCATGGTCAGACAAGAACCTTGGCCATAGGACACCATTTCGGCACTCTCAGGGCTGTTTGGGTCACATGGGCTTCATGGCCTGACATTACAGTGTCTTAGTCACTGCTCTGTGAAGAGACACCATGACCACAGCAACTCTTAAAAAGGAAAACTTTAACTGGGGGCTGGCTTACAGTTTCAGACATTTAGGCCATTATCATCATAGCAGAGGGCATGGTGGCAGATACGGTGCTGGAGAAATAACTGAGGACTACATCCTGATCCACAGGCAGGGAGTAAGAGAGCCTGGGCTTTTGAAACCTCTAAGTCCACCCCCAGTGACACACTTCCTCCAACAAGGCCACATTTATATGGGCCTATGGGAGCCATTCTTACTCAAACCGCCACATGTAGCTCTTTGCTCTGGGTACCTCACTGACTGATGTGCAGACGTGTTCCCAGGTCAGATAGCGATGCCTGTGCGGGATCAGGACAGCAACCCCACACAACCACCACCGAGTTCTTTATCTATTTTATGTTCTGTGCATGGGTATTTTGCCTGTGTGTATATACGATATACATGCCTAGTACCCTCAAAGGCCAGAGAAGGGCAACAGATCCCCTGAAACTGGAGTTACAAACTGTGAGCTGCTACATGGGTGCCAAGAATCAAACTCAGGTCCTCTTCAAGAGCAGCGAGTACTCTTCAGAGTCCTCTCTCTGGCCAAACCACCAAACTCTTCACTGGCACCTACTTGTGCAGTGGCCCAGGTTTGTGTCCTTTCAGAATGCAGTAATGATGTAGCAAGTACTTGTATCGAGTCTCAGGCCCAAGTGCCTGTCTTTATATCCAATGTGAAAGAATGGAAAGAAAGTACATGTGGTACTGTGGTGCGGTGGGTCACAAGCCATGTGTCTGAAAAAGGACAGCTGCTGTGGTGTCACTCAGAAACGAGGGAAATGAGCATGCCATAGAGGAAACAGCTGCCAGTGTTCACTGCCAGGATGCAAGTTGTGTTTTTGAGTACAGAATACAGCATAGGAAAGCTTGCAGCTGCCACGAGTTTCCTAGGTCTTCAAACCCTCCAGGGTGTGCAGAGGGAACACTACCGGTATGGAGTTGTTTAAGATCACTGAAACAGTGTGCTCCACCTGACACATGACATCACACTATGTCCACCTGACAGGTGACATCACACTGTGTTAACAGCAGCGAGGAATGTTCTTCACTCCCAGGACTGTTGTGCTTATTAGATATGTTTGCTAGTCTCAGTTGTCTCCTGGCAAGGAGCTGTTTTATTTGGGCATGTGCGTGAAAAGCCTTCAGTGTGCTATAAGGTGACTCTGCCATGCATTAATTCTTGTTTTCACTCATGTCCCCGTGGGTGCTGCTTCACAGCTTTTTTTCTGGGCAGTAGATCTGTTAGAGTGTTTAGGAAGATACAGACCTCCTGTGTCTACATAAAATTGTTTGGTTTTCATTCCACTCTCTTTGCATGCTTGTATGCACCATGACATGCAGGTGGAGGCCATAGGACCCCCTCAGGGGTCAGCTCTTGTGTGCTGTGTGCCCAAGACCAGGGATCTCCACCTGTGCCTGGAGCAGCGCTCTGGGATTGCAGATGGCAGCAACTGCATCCAACCT